AGGCTTACTGCATAGCTATAGTATTCAAGACGGTGTGGTGCTGGAGAAAGGATAGATATTTAGATCAAAGGAATGGAAAAGAGAACCTACTTATAAACCCACACACATATGCCTCGCTGATTTTTGATAAAATTGCAGAAGCAATCCAATGGGGATAATGGTAGCCTTTTCAACAAATAGTGCTGGAACAATTAACCATTCATAGGCAAAAAATAAAACAAAATGATTGAAAGAACCCAATATAAACCTCATATATTATACAAAAATTAGCTCAAAGTGGATCTTAAGCTTTAATGTAAAAATATTAAATATCTAGAAAAAATATAGGAGAAAAATTTCAGGACATTGGGCTAGTAAAGCTCTCTTAGACTTCAACTCAAAGCATGATTCACAAAAAGAAAAATTGATAAATTGGATATCACCAAATTAAAATTTTGCTCTATTAAGTTGTATGAAGCTACAGACAGGGAGAAGATATTTTGGGCCACATATATGACACAGAATTTATATTTAGATTATTAAACAATCTAATTAGAAAATGGGCAACAGGCATGAATAGACATTTCACTGAAGAGAATATACAGATGGCAAATGAGCATAAGAAAATATATTAAACATCATTAACTATTAGGGAAATGCAAATGAAATTCACAATGAGACATAACTACATACCTATCAGAATGGTAAAATATAAACAATAGTAATGACATCAAATGCTAGCAAGGGTGTGGATAAATTGAATCACTCATGCATTGCTATGGGGACATAAATTAGTACAGTACTCTAGAGAATAATTTCACAGTTTTTTATAAAGCTACCACATACTTACCATACAACCCAGCATTGCACTCCTGGGCATTTATTTCTGAAAAGTGAAAACTTATATTCACACCCAAACTCATCTGTGAATACTCATAGAAGCTTTATTTGCTCCACACCCAAACTGAAACAACCCAAACATGCTTCAGAGGGTGCACATACAGGCAAAATATGGCACATCCACGCTGTGGAATACTACTCAGCAATAAAAAAGGAATTGATAGTCACAATAACTTGCATGGCTCGCAAGTGAAAAAAGCCAGTCTCAAATGGTTGCACTCTCTGATTCCATTTTTGATTCCATTTTGATAACAGCCTTGAAATGAAAAAAAAAATCATAGAGGTGGAGATCAGATTAGTGGTCATCAGAGGTTAGGAAGGAAGGAATTGACGGTGGTTATAAAAGCGTAGCATGAAGGATCCTTGTGATCAAACCTCTGTATCTTATCTATGTTTTTGACTGCATGGTTCTATATATGTGCTAAAGTAGCACAGAACTAAAAACAGGCACACACACTGAGTACTTGTAAAACTGGTGAGATCTGCATAAAGTTGGTAGTCTCTATGTCCTAATGTCAATTTCCTGAGTGTGGTATTATACTGTAGTTATGCAAGATGTCTCCATTGGGGAAACTGGGTCTACAGTTTCTAAGAGTCTACAGGCAATCTTTCATTCCTACATGTGAATCTACAATTACCTCAGAATGCAAAGTTTAAAAAAGCAGGTGAGTAACCAATACAGAGAGGACCTCAGGCAGTAACTGGTGTAAAGCTGGTGGTCACCTATTCCCCAGGGTAGGCCCGGCCAGCTGCACCTGGCTCCACAGCCCATCTTCTCCCCAAGTGATGCTGTCTTCCACTGACCCCCATCCACAGGACTTGGCATCACGGTATCTTGAATGTAGGTTTCCTTAAAACTTCCTAAATAATGAGGTCTTTTTCTGATGTCCATTTTCTGTGAAGTCTCTCCATTAGATGACTTTATGACAAATCTTTTATACTACTACTTTATTACCACTATTATTTTAACATATTACACAACTGAACTACAAAGCCAGATCACAAAGGGGGCACAAACAGAGTGCAACGTGTCAATGAATTTACTGCAGCATTCCTAACTTTGACCTAAAGATTCAAAGACTCCACATTCAAAGTTGATGGTATAAACAGACAAGAAGAATGGTGAATATTAAACTTCTTTTTGTCTTTTTCTCATTAAAAATAAAGAATGAAAAAAGTAATTACTGTATAACATGAGTTATTAGCGTTCTAGAACAGAATACTGAACATCTCTTCAGTGGAGAAGAAAAAAGTTTTCTTTTGATTTATTTACTTTCCAAAACAGAATGAGGACTTCAGAGGTCAGGGCAACATAACTGTAGTTCTCTGAGTCACTATGGTAAAATAAAAACTTGGCAATTGTTTGTCATGAATGTTCAAGGATTTCTTTTCCCACTTGCCACTCAGAATAGAAGCTAATCATAAAAATAGCTGTTTGACAAACAAAGCTGTTTCTGTATCCCTTCTAAGATCTTAATGGTTAGTAGGTAGTGGGCCGGATTTTTTAAGAAGGCAAAGAATGTCAGTTATTTTGCCATAGTCTTTCTTCCTTAAATTTTGCCAGAGTTCTACTTTGGAAGTGTTCAACATTGAACAGTGTTAAAGTGTGTGGTTAACCTACTTTTATATGTTATACACCTATCCAACAAAGACCAGAAAGGAATAATGAAGGATAAATAAAACCTTAAATTGGGCTCACACTGTAGATTGCATGTGAGGTTAAAGTTGTGTACCTCTTCTATAACATTCATAAGGAAGCTGCTTTTAACTATATCCTGAGGAAGTTCTGGAGATAAAAAATATCTTTGGAAAGATTATGCCAAGCCATGAGTAACTTCCTAAATGATCCCCCTGATCTTATGGGATAATGTTTAATATTAAGGCACATCGCTGGCATAGGAAAGACACTTGTTCATTGTTAACTGCTGTTGTCATTGTAACCATTATTAATTTTAATCATCAGAGTTTGGGAGCAAGAAAAACGTCATTGGATAGTCTCATTTCCTCCCTGTCTGTTCTGTTTCCAGGAGATCAGAAATGGAATGAGATCCCACAATGGTAAAGTTTTAGCATCATCCCCTGACCTTTCTCCCTTAATGTGTGGAGGAAGAAATATGGCTTTCATGGTCCCTGAACCAGGGGCAGATAAAACATCACTCCCTCTAAAAAAGTCTCGTGTACTCCACAATTTTTGGTTACAGCATTGGATCCCCTGAGTCTGACTACATTAGTCAAGCACGCTAGCCTGTACTCATATCCTTGGAATATTCTGTGAGAATCAAGTGGCTGGTGGTATACCCTGGCCCTTTGAGGTCTCTAATCATAACTTTCTTATACAGTGAATATAATGATTCTTTGACTTACAACAATGTAGTTTGTTTTGCTTAATGTTGAACTCTTATGTCAACATCTTCAACGGGTCATGCTGAGTTGGGCCCAGTAGTCAGAGAAATTTCTCTAAACAATATTTACCCAGTAAGAGAAGATGCTACGATTTCATTATTTTGGACTGCTATCAGCTCTACCCAGAACCCAATGCAGCCACTTACCCTTGCCAGGTCTATCTCTATTTTACAATGTCAAATTGGAGTAGCACACACAGCTTTATTGATACTGCCTTTTGGAAATGTCCCCTTTACTAATATGTTGGGTTCTTGGAAACATGATTTATTTTATCCTAACAAAAGCCTATAATATCAAATGTTAGCAGAGGGCTTAAGAATACATTTTCAATGATTCATTTCTTGTTCACTTAGCTATTGTAAATGGATAATTCCAAAAAATGAACGATAGAAACCTATTTATTTTTGACAAGTCCAGTTGGAATGTCATACCCACCATACCCCCCAGTCTTTCTAATTCCTATACCATTACTTCAGTGATCGCTCCTAGGTTATTTATTCCCAGAACTGTATCTCAAGTTCAGATTGCAAACTGAGTTCAAACCAGAACATGCAACTGAATATATACTATGTGTGAGGTGGTCAGTTAAAGAAGAAATATAAATGTGTAATACTCCTGAATGTGTTCAACTGTCCATAGAGAAATACACATTAAAATGTGATGAAATGGAAAACAAATTAATGGAATGATGGAAATTTGTGAAAGGACCAAGAATAAAGCTCCTAGATATTTAGTGATTCTTGGTGGCTTCAAGTCATAAAATTATACTCTTAATGATTTGATACAAGGTTCTAGAAGAGATGGAACTAACTAACATCCTGTGCCTTTCTGTTGGTTATGTTTATTGGGCTAGCATTGTGCTGGGGGTGGGGACAGGCAAGAGACATTTATGACAGTCCTTGACTTTGAAGACCTCGGAACTGTGGTGACTGAACTAAATAACCAAACAATTAGAAAACCACTGAAGGCAAAAGTTTTTTCATGCTCTAAATTTGAAAATGGAACTTCCATGAAACAAAGATAGCATTAGGTAAAGTAATGAAAGCCTTTCTGAAAAATGGGGCATTTGAATTGGATCTTAAATGACGTTTGTGTACAATTTCAGGGAGCAGAGGCAGAGCATTTAGGATGGGTATCCACGTGAGCCCAAAAAGAGAGGCAGGAGGAGTAGAATATATATGAGAAATAGCAAGAACAAAAGTTTGGTAAATGTGGGGGACCTTGAGAGGAAGTGAAGAATAAGATAATGATGCCAAGACTTGGTTATGAGGCTTCAGCCAAGGGGAGAGGTCTGGAGTCAACTTAAAAGGAGCTGGAAGGGATCATGCTCAGTGAAATAAGCCAGAAAGAAAAAGAAAAATACCGGATGTCTCACTCATAGCAAGAATCTAGAAAACTTAAATAAGGGACCAGGAAAAAGTATAACTATAAGAAAGAAAATATCAAAATCAACAAACAACTATGAACCAGAGACACTCTATTGGGGGTGGGGGGTGGGGGGCGGGGAAAGGAGGGCTTGGGGTCAAAATAAGGGGGTTGTAATTGTAAGGGGAATATAAAAATAAAATTTAAATAATAAATTAAATAAATAAAATGTGTACAAAGACCTCAAAAAAAAAAAAGGGGGGGGGCCATGGACAAGCTTTTTATCTCAGTGGACACTTCCTGAGAATTCTCTGTGTGTTCTTAGGGTTCTGAGGAAACAAAGATGACTAGAACATGGTCCCACCATGGAGGAGTGTGTAGGTTATAGCAGATGATAGATGTGAAAGTGGTGACTTAGGTTCAGTGGGAAGGATGATTACAGAAGAATGGGGAATTCAGAAACCTGGAGCACAAAGCCTGAGACAGAATTCAAACCAAAGGCAAGGGTAGGTCTAGCAGTTCTTCTTAGTGATGGTTGGGTGGTTTGTAAGTACACGATTTCAGCTGCGGTGCATCAGTTGAAGTTTTGATACAAGAGGAGAAGTTGAGATTACCAGATTGAGCAAAAATTGTTTTTCTCAATATGTCTTCTCCAATATTCATTGTTTATCTGAAATTTGGTTTAACTGGGCATCTGGTAGCTTGTTTGGCAAACTTAGGAAAGTTCGGTTTTATATACCATTATAATTTTATTAGTTCACTTCCTATAGCAAAGAAAGTACAAGTCAGGAACACCAGCTGAACATTCAAAGGGACCGTGGCCAGTTTGATTTGAGTGTAGACGTGTGACAAGTTCTTGAAGGAGGCCTTCATATCACCTCAGTTAAATAGCGTACAAGAAAGTATCACTTTGGCAAATATCCTTACAGGGAAAAACCCTATGTAATGAAACTTTTACTGAGTTATAATAAATTCTAATAAGGGTTCTCAACAATAACATTTTTTTTGATCTAAACATAAAGAAATAAGTATAAGAAAGAATAAACTCTGCCATATTTTCTTGTCCTGGTCATTGCTCCTAAATGTAATTTATCCTCTACAGTTGATGTACTGGACTGTGTACCGTTTTTATTTCCAGATGAAAGATGATAGGGGAGGTAGATTCTTCAAAATTTTATTATTTTGGAGTCAAAGATTCTAGCCGATTGCTATCTCCTATCTCCAACATCCAGCAAAATCTACTTAGCTCCCCAACTGCTTGCCAAAACAAAGCAAAATCAAACAAAAACATCAAAGATTCCAGAAAATTGGGACAGGTACAGGGGATAATGATTAAAGAGTAGTTTTGAGGAGACTTTGACATCAATTTCATTCTCTTAGTGTGGTCATGGAATTCTTTTTCTGTTTCTTTTACAACAGAGAGGTTTGACTTCAACTCTGCTTGTTACTAACTTTTGAAAGCTAGGGATGTGATTTCTTACCTTGTTATTTATATAATAAAACTCTGTAGCCACAAAACCATTTGAAACCCTGGAGCATTTGTAAGAATTGGGTTTTTGTTGAAGTATGTCATAAATAAAAGAATGGTTTAGCCCACAAAAATGCAAATCATAGTAAGAGGACACATGGAGGATACAGGGAATGGTCAGGCATCTCCGGTGGCAAGCAACAGAAATCCTTTAAGAAAACTCAAGTGAAAGGGGTTTATTTAAGGGGGCTCTAAAAGTTATTCTGCAGGATATGGCTGTGGCAACAAGAATATTTGATATGCTGCTCTCTGCCTCACTCCCTTCCCTTTCTGACACACACACAATTTTATTGCAATCATCCCAAAATGAAGTCAGCATCTTAGTTTGTTTACACATCTTCCTTGAGTACTACACTCACGGCTAAACAACTCGAATGTTGGTGTCTGAGTTCAACTTTCCATGAAGGGGACTCTGAATGCTTACCTTTAATCAAGTGTCCATCAACAGGATGTGGCAAGAGTCCCATGGTTTCCATCTCCTTAGTACTGACCATGGATATGGACAGAGTTGGACAAAGCAGCCAAGCCAAATGATATGATTTAGGTGTTTTCTCCTGTATATTTTCCTCTAATTGTCCCCAACCTGAAAGGGCTGATGTTGTGCCCTAATGTTTATGAACTTTTGTATATTTTAATCAAGCTCTAAATTTACTGAGTAAATCCTTCAGAACATTTGGCTTTATATTGTGGGTTTTTTAATATTTTTTTATATAATTCTTCTATTATGGGTTTTGTGGTGTAGCTTTCTGCTGAAGCCACTCATATCATGAACAGTATTGGGATGGAAGTATTATAACTAAGATCATTTCAAAGAGTTGCCTAAGGCAGTCGAATTTTCAAGGTCATGTGCTCTATCTCAGCTACAGACCTAGTCTTTCTGCAGACCACTTTCTGAAAGTGTGGAAGCAAAGAAATAGGTATCTTCTGATTATTACTGCTCTGTTCCAGTCAGAGGAATAATGTCACTGATAGCAAGGTGATTCAGGGAGGAGGGGCTTTCCAGATTGTACCTTAGACTAACCATGGGGCAGCCATGCTGGTTACCTTCCATTCTCTTTTCTAAAGTAGGTCAGATTTAATGGTAATGCCATCTTAAATCTAAACCCCCTTTTGTCCTATAAACACTCCATATTACCATGATAAGTGAGGACAGTGCTTGATGCAGCTTAGTGTTCAGTGGGAGAAGGAGGAATCTCTCTAAATTAAACTCTAATCAAAGGCTTGAGGCTTAACAAAAGACATTTCACTGAATAATTGGTTATAGCAATTGAGTTTTCTAGAGATAATTTTTTTGGCTTTCACTCAAGTTGTAATGTGCATTGTGTTCGAATGGGAGTAGACAAGAGGGAGTGGAGATGGCCTTTTACAGGCTTCCAGTTAAGCTTTTAATTTACACTGGTTATCTATATCTCTGGATGCTCCCACATCATTACCTGTGAGATAGTAGAGAGAAAAAATGGCATTCTATTTTCTGCACCCTTTTCTCTTTGAGATCTTGCATCTTCATTTAAAAGCAATCAGGCAGGCAGGTGAAGGGATTGGAAAAAGGATGACTTTTAATAGCTTTTGAGATCAAGATTCCAACATCCTCCTTAAAGACTGGCCCAGACCTCTCTGATATCCAATGTGGTACTTTCAGTTCTACCTTGTGTGATTTAAGAATTTCACATTTTTCAGATTAAAAATATCTTAAGAAATACAACAGGGTATCAGAGGTGGTATAATTAGGAGAGAGAGTACTCTTCCAAATCCACCCAAATTAATTCTATCAGTCAATTAGTATATATTTTGCCTGTGACATTAGTCTCAGTCTCTACAAAATCTATTAGGACTACACTTAAGGGAAGTAATTAAATATTGTACAAGAAAATAAATAAATTTAACTGAATAAAAATGGTTTCTATTAAGACATTTATAGGAGCATGCTACCCACTTGGAAATGCTGGGTGTTTATTTTTTTGATTCTACCATCACCCTTCTCCTTTCCAAAGGGTGTTTGGTTGGGTGGATGCTGGAATCTTAATCTAGAGGGTAAACCAGGAGAGTCAAGTGTTGCATATCTGAAAGTCCCAGTACAGACACCAAGCTCAATAAGGCAGGTTTAAGACCAAGATCTCAGCATCACTCAAGATCTGAGTGGCAGAAATCAAGACCAAAGTAAGTGGAAAACATTTGGGAAGGGACAGGGGATGGTGCTTGGAGAGATAAGTTGGAAGTGGTCTCAGGAACTGGTGTTAGGACTCAACATTTCATCGTCTTGTGAGAACATTCTAGAACAATGGTCCTAGTGGAGAGTCCAATAATGTCAGCCTGTGACTCTTGTGTCAAGCAGTATGGTGGTTGGGACTGTTGAGCATGCCTGCAGAGTATCAAAAAGGCTATGAAAGTCCTCTCTGCAGGAATAGCATCAACCTTCTTCATATTGTCCCATAACAAGAAAAATTTCCCCAAGTATTTGAGCCCTGGGTATCCATGGATTACTATAGCTCTGTGATGAATCCAAAAACTCTTAAAAAATAATGAACTAATGATGCTATGGCAGTGACTATTTGAGGCACCTGTGGTGAAACAATGAGGGCGTGTCTCTGCTTTGACCTTCTCTACCTTGGTCCAACAAAGCTCACACCCGCTCACCAAACGGTATACCAAAGGTTATATGTCCTGTGTGTACAACATAGCAATGATTTAGGGAGACAAAAATGGTGTAATTTTGCTTGTGTCTTGAGGACTCTAGGAACAGCAGGTGTGTATTAAGATACCTGACTACTTATTTCATCTGTGGAGCAGGGTGGGGGTGATCCAGGCAGAGGGAAACTGAATGACTGGGGCCAAAAATCAGATTCTATGAGCTGATCTTACACAAAGGAGGGTGGGGGAAGAAAGAAGGCATTCTGAATCATAAGTGCCATGGGAAAGCTAAGGATCAGACAGCAGGGACAGCACATATATTCATGAACCCAGGAGTCTGTGATAGAAAGATTAGGAACCAGAGAGGTATCAGGAAGATAAGAGTATGAGCCATCAATTGCTAAAATAACGAGGAGTGAAATTTACTAATTTAATACATCTTTCAGTCATTTAACAGGTGTTCATTGTTCATTATACAACACTTGCTTGAAAGCCTAATATGTTCTAGGTTCTGTGCCTAAATCTTGGGACACAATACTGGTGGGATTCAGACATCAACATGGTATGATAATTACTATGACTTGAAAGAGGGTTATGAGAATATGTAGGGAGGGCACTTGAGGAGTTTGGGGGAAAGGGGGAGTTTTTTTTTAAATGATAGAGAAAGCTGAACTGAGGTTCAAGGACCAGGGATTAAGTGGAAGATGATCCTTTCAGGCAAAGGGAATGATATAAGTGAAGACTGGCCAGTAAGAGAGAGCATAGTATCTTGGTTGGAGAGAATGCAAGTGTGGGATGAGGATTCAGATGAGGCCAGAACCAGAACTTGAAATGCCTTCTAAGCCATGGCAAGGATGTTGGATTTTTGAAAGCCATGGAGAGCCATTGAAAGGCTTTGAAGCAAGAGAAGTTCCATCGGAGCTGTGTTGTCTGGCTGCAGGTTCCATAATTTACGATTGAGATGGTAATGAGCTGAACTGAGAGGTGGCAGCGGAGCTAGAGACAGACTAGGTTGTTAAGGTGACAGAGTTTGGTTATTGGCCAGAGAAATGAGGGAGAGTTGGGAAGCACAGGTGACGACTGGATTTCTAGATTGTAGTCATTTCCTGTTTGGGGAACTAAAAAAGGAGAATTGGCTTTGGAAGGAGGCAATAAATTCAGTCTTGGATAGGTAGGGACTGGGAAGTGACAGTGCCTCTTTGGGTGAGGTTATTCACAGCACTAGACAGTGGCTCATGGTCAATTAATGGCCTTGGTTATTTTTCTCTCAGGCACAGAAGAGGATCTGCATGGAGCAAATAAGGAATTTGGGCTGGAATGTCGGAAGGATAAACCTTGAGCCACCCTATA